AGCCAGTTGGCAGCCACATGTACGAGGCGACATCTGATTGAGAGAAAACCCAGCTGCCTCTCAGTCAGGCCTAATCACAAGGACTTGCCGGAAGTCCTTACATCAAACGCCACTCTAAGAGCTCTGTCCCTTTATTTGCTGGTAGTTTCCTGAGAATGTGTCCCCAGTCCTCTCCTTTCACCCTCCTCAAGAGGTGATCACTGGGCCGCAATTGAAGCTTGGAGCAGAACAGCAACAGGAAGGAAGCTGTGTGTGCCTCAAAGCCCACCATTCCGTTAATCATTCCCGGAGGTCCGTGGGACCACAGAGGGTTGTTCTGACCCACGTGGTCCAGCAGCAGCAGGTGGCGCCTCCCTTTGGTGAATTACTGTGCTTTGCTGGTTAATGTTAGCTCAGTAGGTCAACAAGGGGGAACATCCATTTTCTCATCTGGTGAACCAGGACAATTTCCTTTCTTCAAGAAAAGGGAGAAGGTTATGATTTCATAAAAGCTCTTTTTTCTCTTTAGGTGGAAGATTAGATTTGCTAGAGACATTTTCACTTTCTTCGGAAATTGTCTGTTTGCCTTTTGCTTTGGAAAAGGCATTTGGTGGACTAAAGTATGACTTCTTTTTGAAGCTCCAATGTGGAAAACAATAGTTAAAATATCGACGTCTATTGAATATCCACTGAACCTGTCAAAGGATATAGCATTTGTACAAATGCTAATGACTTAGGAAATCTGGCTTTAAAGGGATGATTATTATTTTTATAACCTAAAGGAAATCCCTATCTAGTGAGAGGGATTCCAATTACTCCACAGATTTCTGATTGGACCTAAGAGCTTCCTTCCCCATCTGCCCCACCCTGATTTCTTCTTGTCTGGCCTAATTATTTCTTGTCTAGCCTTCTGTCAGTCACCCTCCATGGGTTCTCTTTGACTATAGCAATTTGTGTGTTTGTCTTATCTTCCCTCTTCATCTAGAGCGCATCAAGGGCAAATGTCAGGCCTGTCCCTTTTTTGTAATGTCCACATCGCCTGTCTCAGTTGCTGGCACACACTAGTAGCTCAAGTAATTATCAGCAAACGAATTAATTTTAAATCTATTCATTGGCCATTTATTTATTCATTCATTCAGTGAGTCAGTCACTCAACATGTTTTTTGAGCGCAACTATATGCCAGTCATGTTCAAGGTACTGGGGACACAAACAAACAGGTCAGGCGAAATCCCCATCCTTTGCAAACTTACATTCTGTTGGGTTTGACCAAGTACTGGGAAAACCCTTAATTTCCTTATTTAAATGTCTAATTGCTGATCCCTGGGGGTTTATCTGAAAGGAGGTGAGAGGATTTTTTTTTTTTGTGGTCTTTCCTCTCTCTAAGCGTGTGATCAGGATCAGGGAACAAATAAAGCCCTCAAAGAAAACCTGTAATTTTAAATTTTTGACCCAGAACTTCACATGGCTAAAGGTGCAGCCTCAGTAGGGCCCTTTCTCATTGAGGAATCGGGGCCCCCTGCAAGGTCTGAAACGGAAGGGGTGAAATAAAAGGAGGTAGCTCGCCTGTATAACAACAACTTGAAGTCCTCCCCTCTCCTTTCCCTCAGAGTTCCAAAGTCAAGAATTTGGGAACTCTATGACTCAGAGAAAATGAGGAGCTAGGATAAAGGGCTCTATGTGAAGGGATTGGTGGCCGGCCACATCAAAGGTGGCAAGAAGCCTAAAGTGAGGCAGTCCCACAATGCCTGAGCCTGAGGCTGGAGTTGGGAGCAAGAAGAGGAGGCAACGTCCAGAAGGAGAGAAGTAACCCACTGGGAATTCTCAGAAATGTTGGGATGGGTGCAAGACTTCCTCTGGGATGTGTGACTGAGCCCTGAGCTCTTTCACTTAGCCATGCAAAGAAAGCCTGGGCCTGGAAAGCTGGGGTGCATGGGGAATTCAGATTATTCTGTAGTGGTGACCCTCTTTTCCAGCCTGGGGAGCGGTTCGTTGGCAGCTCTTTACAGGATTCCCAATGTGTTTATTTGCTTGGTCTTCATATTGCCTCACTCCCAGCAAATCCAAGAACTGTCAAAGATCTCTGGGAGTAAGAGGGTCTCATTTAAAAGCCTTTCACTCAGACTTGGAAACAAACTTTCCCTAAATTAAAAGTAGATAGGATATAAATCGGCATTTATGTAATGTAATGTTCTGCACCAATCCCTATTGTTTTGTGAAGCTCTTTTCAGGAACGGTCATTTGCAGCAGCCCCCTGGGTCTTAGTAGCCCACCATTTTTCCCTGAAAGATCCAGAACTAATCCCAGGAAAAAGCAGACAGGCTTTCAAGCCCGCGGTTTTAACATGTTCCCTGCCCACAAAGAAGCTGTTTTCCATGCAGAAACACCGCTTAAATGTGAGCTAATTCATCAGCCATCTCTCTGCACAGGCCACTTTGTGCAGACTGAAAATAAACGACATTGACCCAAACTCCCAGCCGTGGGGCCAATGTGAAGAATGGGAGGTGATGCTTTCTCCCTTGCAGCCTCTTCACCGAACCCCTCCATCCCAACCCGCAAAAGCAACCAGACCCAGGGGCACCCAAGCTTTCACTAGAATGACAAGCTCAGTTTGATTGCAACAAACTCCCACCTGCCCCAAAGACACCCATTCCTGCACTGTTCTTGCTTTGAAATTAAACTTTGAGAAGGAAGCATCCAAACATCACCTCGGTTCGAGGGAGACCCATGTGGCAAATTCCCTCTCCTCTATTTCTGCAAAAAGTGAGGATTCAGAGAAAACTTGGAACCCCAAGACTTCCACCTAAAAATGTAAACTTCTGCTGAAGAGGACACTGTATTCACAACGATCACCAAAACAGGTCATCGTGGCGACGTTCAGGCGGGTCAGCCACGTGCCTATCCATCGTCCATCTGCAGCTTAGCCTTCAAACCCCTTTAGCTTAACCTCTAAATTGAAGGATTTAATAATCTTTTCATCCATTTGCTCTCATAAAACTGCCTGGAAGAATGGAGACACTTCTCCTGTTATTACCATTTAGCTCCTTACCTTGATGCTGTATTTTGCTCCCTTAAAGCTTTTAATGGACCCAGATAAATCACAGCTTTTACATCGCCTGCCACTTTTTACAATCAGAATGCTCGGTATCCTAATCTAGGATGGAACACGTCTAACAGTTCATTTACTTTTGATCACATTCTGCTATCTTTCTACCCCACATGGAGCTTTTCTGCATGGACAAGTTCACAATTCCAGCTCAGCTTGCAATTGGGTTTTCCGAATTTTCCATTTGTCTCCTTAAGAGCGAGAAAGGGAATGCTTAGTGGTGGAGGCAGAAAGCTGGCAATGAGGCGTGCCAGAGCTGAAATAGACGTCTAGGGTTTAGCAGCAAAATAAAACAAAACCCAAGCCCCACGCTGCTCTTCCTCTGCCCTGAATGTTCTTTTCTGCCTGTGGCCCCACCCTCCTCAATCTCTAAGACTCAGCCCTGGTGTCACTGTGAAGGCTGTTGGCACCTGTCCCTCCTGTGGACCTTTAAGTACCCTGCACAGTTTTCATTCCAGCATGTTCCTCATGGGTTTGCAACTATTTGTCTATTTGTCTGTCACATCTAACATCCAGCACCCTCTGCTCTAGTCTGTGATCGTTGTATTTGTTCTCAACTAGTGCCCAATAAATGCTATCTACTCTTATTCCCATAGAACAGGGTTTCTCAACATCAGCTCTATTGACATTTGGGGCCAGATCGTTCTTTGTTGTGGAGCTGTTCTGTGCATTGGAGGATGGTTAGCCACAGCCCTGGCCTCTACCCACTGGATGCTGGTAGGAAACACCTCCCCACCCAGTTGTGGCAATCAAAAATGTCTCCAGACATTTTGTCTGCCAAATGTCCCCTAGGGGTTTTGCAGTCACCCACCTCCCATCCCCCCCTCCAATTTGTGAACCACCGCTAGAGAATAAGACAAAGAATATGGGTGCAATGCTTCAGGCCACGTGGTCTTTAATCACATGGACTCTCCAAAGCTATCAAAACTGTCCTTTATTTTTTTAGAAGAAAGCACTAATGTATTACCAATGCAGCCTCCAGATTCTACTTCAAAAATATATTTTTTAATCTTATTAAAATCAAAGTAAAAAAAATCCCTGAGAGGTAGGTGTACTTGCAGGCTCTGGAGGGTAGTAGTTGAGAGCAGAGTGTGGAAGCCCGGCTTCAGTTCGAAATGCAGTTCCACCAGATCCTAGCTGGGTGATCTTAGGGGAATCCCTTAGCCCATCTACGCCTCCTCAGCTGAGTAATAATCTAGTTAATCTAAACTGTAATCTACAATTAATGATTTCACCTGCCAAAAGGAGTTGTTGAGATGGTAGATAGTTGAGTTAATATTTGAAAAGCTCTTAGAACAGTTCCCAGCACAAAGCAAGCACATATAAACATTAGCTCAAAGCCAAGAAGTAGGGGGATTTTCAAGGGGTCTCCATATTAGAGCCCGTTTGTTTAGAACTATTTGGAAGCCTTAAGTTTTTCCTGCCAAAGGGATCAGAGTCGATCCTGCAAAATGTATAAAACATCTTTACACCTCCAACATTTTAGAACTAAATTGGAAGGTTAGGGTCAGCTCGGTAAGTTTCTGCTCTTAAAATGCGACCTTCCTTCAGCTGACTCAACTCCTTATTTTAGAAAAAGATACGAGTCTCAATAGATAAGAAGCTGGGAAATCTCACGGCCTCTTGCATGTCCTAACCATTGGGTTCACACTCACCTATTAGAAGCAAAATCACAGAGGAAACCACTTGGCCACCAGTTTTGATAAGACATTCCAGTTGGTCTGTGTGCTCCGGAACATTGAGCCATTAATCTCCAGGGAACTTCTTGTTTTAAATTTTTCTTCCATTTTTGTGTATTAAAAAAGACACAAAACAGAGTTTAAAACATGTCATGACTTTGATCTCACTGTGCAGTGCTTTTTAGACTGTCTTCTGTGATAATTTCGTCCATTCTCACTGTTCGATATTATATTTTAGAGGCAGCATAGATCAGGGATAAGAACATAGCCCGAGGCTCACCTTTCACTGCAACCAAGAAGATGTATAACCTTGAGTGAGACACCTAATTTCTCTATGGCTCCTTTCTGCATGGATAAGGTAAGATTGATATTACTACTCTCATCAGACAGTTTTTGTGAGACCGAACTGAAAGCTTCATCTTCAGAAGTCAGCACAGAGCAGGACACATGGTTAAGGTTAAGGTTAAGGTTAAGGTTAACCTTAAGGTTCTATAAATGTTAGCCATTACCATTAATAATGTCTCATAACCATAGAGTAGTTAATAGTCCTTCAAGCAGGTTCATGTTCATGATCTTATGTGACAAGGAGAATATTGTTCAAAAAGTGAAGGAAGTGATTTTAGTCCCCCTTTAGAGAGAAGATGACTGAGGCAAAAAGATAGTTGAGGAATTTCCCCAAGGTCCCCAGCGAATTAGCACCAATTGAACCTGGAACTGAATCTCCAAGACCCTGAGTCTTGTGCACTTTCTTTGATTAGTGCTTCTGGAAAATTCATGTATATTCCGACGATCTGGGAATCCCGTTAAAATGCAGATTAAGATTCAGCAGGAGGGGGATTGCTGGGCTTCTGCATTTCTAACAAGCTCCCAGAAGGTTCTGAAGCTGCTGGCCCATGGACCCCGCTTGGGATAGTGAAAGTTTATAAATGGTTGCATCAACCTCTTACATTTCTGCTGCCTTAGTAATTTTCAGCAGAATTTGAGAAAAAACAAAGTGTGCAGAAGAATCACAAAACATTTCATGGGGATAACCCCCACAGTTCTCATTCTCTCACCACTGTGAAGTTACCTGGGAGTTTATTACCAAAACACCCATCCACCTTCACAGTATCAGGACAAACAGGCAAGCCCAGCTTGCTACAGCCCAGCCAATAAAAGTTTCTACTCTGTGGGCTGATTGGAAGTCCCGCTGGGACCTACAAAAGTCCCTCCACTCCTTTCCCTTCACTTAACACCAGGGAGCCCATTGCCAGTGGGGAGCTCCATCGAAAAGAACATTTCTCTTTCTTCTGAAAATTGATTGCTCCCTCTGTATACATTTGTTTTTCATTTACACAGATATTTCAGCTATTTTTGCTTTGTTGTGTTACCTAGGTAACCTAGACCAAGGAAAATAAGAACTAATTCGAACTTTTGCATCAAATTTCAAACCACACCTGAGCTTTCCACAGATCACGCAGCAGAAAGAATGACAAGGTTTTGGCGGGAGGGCTCCTTTAATCTGAGGGGGCCAGGCTGTCATGAAAGTGGGTACAGATGCGCAGGAGAGGTTCAAGTGTGGCTTATGAAAATCAACTCGCGAACAGGGCATTTTTCTCTCTTTTTCCCTCTATATTGTTTTTTCGTATTTTTACTTTCAGATTAAGCTGGTCTTTGCATATTAGACGAAGGGTCGTCAAATATTTTCTGTAAAGGTCCAGATGGGAAATATTTTCCGCTTCGTAGGCCATGGGGTCTCTGTGGAAAGGACTCAGTTCTGCCCTCGTAACTCAAAAGCGGCCACAGACAAGATGGAAACATTTGGGCAGGGCTGTGTTCCAAATAGACTTTATTCATGGACCCTGAAATTAGAATTCCAATTAATTTTCATGTGTCACGAAATATTTTCCTTTTGATTTTTCTTTTCACCATTTACAAATGTAAAAACAATTCTCAGCTCTCAGGCTGTCCAGAAACAGACGGCAGGCGGGGTTTGGCTCACGGGCCGTAGTTTGCTGACCTCTACCTTAGAATCACATGAGCTCAGCCAACAGCAACATTCTCATATATTGTAATGTTAAAAATTAGATGTAGAATAGACTTCCAGATTTCCTGTGTTTACGATGGCAGCTTTAAAGGAAACCAAAGCTGTGTGCTGGGAACTGTTCTAAGTGTTCTGCAAATGTTTTTTCACGTTAGCTTTCGGTATGTAATACATCCTCATTTCCTAAGGCTGTTTAGTTTGTGAATGTGAAACCGTCAACTTCCTGTGTCAACTGCAAGTAGCTAAGTTTTCCTATTTGTTTGAATTTCTTTAGTGGACCCTCAACTTGTATTTATTTATTTTAGCTCCAAAGACTGACCATATTCATAGCAAGAGTTTGGAAACGTAAGTAGTAATTTTCTGCAAAGGAATATATTCTGACCGATTCATTTCACTGAAACCTCAGAAACGACATACTTTTGTTCTAGTAATTATGATAATAAAGGCTGGAGGCAAGATTCTTTAGCTCTTTGTTTTGTACATATTATAGCTACAAGAATGTAGCTGGAGTTTTTTCATGGAGGAATTCCATGCATATACCAGAAACTTTTAAATGTAGAATTTATCTTTGCAACATGCATCTTCGACGATGTATGTATGCTTTCTGAGTATGCACAATTATTCCACTTTTCTGATAGATATGCTAAGCTTACTTTTCTTTTGTGTATTTCTTTTCACATCAGGCACAATCACCCATCAGCTTCCCTCCACTATCACCATACACATGCCCACTAACCTCAACAGCCTTAGCTGTAGGAATTTCTCTAAAGTCATGAAATTGATTTTCTTCAAACACCTCATTCGTTTACTCCGCCCCTTGGTAACGCTAAGTTAAATACAATATGTGGGCTTTTTGGCTTGGATTCTTGTTCTATGGCTTCTGTACACCGTCACCTCATTGTTCACCTGACGGATTGTAGATGCAGAGTAAGTTTATTAACCAGAATATCTTTTGTGACCCCATAAAATCAATTTATTTCTGCCAAAAGAGATTATCTGGGGAGATGGTCAGTAAGAAACAGCTGAATCATAATCACTTTTGGAACAGCCCTCGTACTCCATAAAAATCACGTTGACTCAGAACCACTCCCAATGCTCTGTGCTCCTTCAGGAGATGGCATAAAGGAATGGAGTAGCACCAGTGGCGGCAGAATGCGCACGGACGCCGGCAGACCTGGAGGCGGCTGGCCCACCCAGCCCATACACCTTATGGCAGGAAGGAGAGTGGGTTAGCTCCTCTTCGGATAATTTGCTTGTGTTTTCTTGTGCCTTTGATAGGGGCATTGGGACACAAAGGCTTTGTCAGAAGAGGAAGAGAGGAGGGGAGGGGAAAGGCAGCAGCTGTGGCCCAGCTGAAGAGCTCTGCGCACAAGCTTTCAGATCTCTGACATCTGCACTTCCTGGGTCCTGACCTTTTCCCAGCCCTTCCCTGGCTGGGGGGTAGCACTCCCAAGAATTAAAGGCGATGTCACAACGCCCTGCAGGATCAAGAACATCCCTGGGTGGCCTAACAATAAAAACAGTGTCCTGGAAGAAAGAAAAAAAAAGGGCAAGAAGAACTAAGTGAGCAATCCACAATGTTAAAAGGGCCAAGCTATTCAATGTCTATTTAATTGCCAATTCATAAAACTGAAAGAAAAAAAGGAGGTTCCTGCGAGTTGGCACATGTTTACTTGTCTTCAATGATTTAATGAGTTGAAGAACATTGATTAAAAAAGAAACAGAGTCATCTTCAAATGTAGACAAGCAGGTTTTGCTTATAGGCGGCCTGTTTCAGAAGCCCAGGCTCTCGAGTATTGCCCTTCAAATTTCCGCCCACGGTGGAGATAACACGGAGGAGAACCCCGGCATTTCTCAGCTGCCCCCTGGGGGAGGCAGGGACATACACGACGCCAGAACCATTTGTGTTGGCTCAGGATGAGTTATATGGTGTCTGTTGCACTGGATTTACCCTTCTCATCTTCCGATGGTGTTTGGCTTAGACTAATTTTAAATGCGCTGGTATTCCCTGAGCGTACTTCTGATGAAATTTACCCCGGACACAAAGCTCCCAGAGCTGTCTTGTTGCAGCTTGGGTAACTTTCCACTGCCACGACACAGGGGAGCCGGTGGAATTTCTCCTCTAAAGACTGGGCCCAGGGAATCATATTTTTTCCCATCTGCTCTTCTTGTGGTACGGACCCTCATTCCCATAATGTGTCAAGTGAAACAGGAAGCAGAGGACAAGCCTGGTCAGCTGTTGAAAGTGCTCGAAGCCCTTTATTCTAGTGCAGAGTTCTTCACCCTCAGCACTAGTGACATTTTGGGCCGGATTGCTCTTTGTCGTGGGGGCGGCCCTGCGGGTTGTAGGATGCTGAGCAGCAGCCCTGGTCTCTGCCCACTGTTACCAGGAGCACCTCCCTCCCAGTTATGGCAACCAAAATGGTCTTCAGACATTGCTCAATGTCCCCTTGGGGCACCACTGCTCTTGTATGAGGGTATTGTGGCGGTACACAGGACAGCTAATATAATTCCTTTCAGCCTGGCTCAGTCCGAAGCATTAGTTATTCTTTTCCAGCCTTTTGAAGTACAGGATGGGCGGTCATATAAGCTCCATGAGGAAAGTGTGCCTGCTTTATTCATAGCTCCCAGCCTGGGCAAAACAAAGTAGGCGGTCAATAAAAGCGTGACGAGTTGAATTATATTTTCTTTTTTCCTGCTAACTCTCTCTCCTTTCTACTCTGCACTTCAAGTCTAGGGCTGCTGACTCACTCTTCTTGGTAACTGGAAGAAAAAGACACTTTGGCTTTGGATCCCCAGTCCGGGCTCAGTTTCAGATCTCAATTTCCTTTTCTTAAATACCAGATCTCAACTTGAGGGCACCCAAGAATCTTGCTTACAGTGTCTGCTTAAAGGAATGTTTCTGTGCTGCGTCAGCTTTATCTCCCTACTTTGTCTTCAATAGACTTTCTTCAATTTTCTCTCTGATCCCAGCTCTTCACAGTCTGCCTATGGCCCTCGTTGGCCATCAGTGACCTCCAAGTCTCTGTTTCAGGTCCCCATGTTCCCACCACTCAGGAAGCCCCCTTTCTGGGCCCTCTGCCCTGGGCATTGTCTCTTCACAGATAATCATTCATGGACAATCGAGACAAGAAGATCTTAAGATAGAGCCCATGGATGGGACTTAGAGAATTGGTCAATCTCTGAATTGTCAGCTGACACTTTTTATGTGGGCATTTAAACCCTTCCTGAGCAGAATACCCATGGCCTTTCATCACATGTCCAGAGGGATATAAGACAAAAAAATCTCCAGATCCATGTCTCTAGATGCTGGCCCAGCAAAGTTTAACTGCACT